ACGTCATCACTGATCTCTTTTTTTTCTTTCTTTCTAAATCCGAGATCCTTCCTACCTTTCGTTTTCTTTTTTTTCAAGTCATTCATGGGTGTTATTCACCATAGTAACACTTGAATTATGTTGTTTTTTTTGCTTTTTACTTTCTTTGAGAAATACTCACCTTATTATATATTTTTTTCATTTTAGTCTTGTTCTAACTAGATTTTTGCCAAATTTTGTATGATCTGTATTTGTGTCAAACTAAGCGTGAATGAAGAAATTTGGTATTTTTATAAACATAATCTAAAATATTAACTATATATATATGTTGTAAGTTAATCCGAATCCCTACAAAAATCCTTCATTCAAAATATCGATCTCCAGTTCACTGATGACTGTTGGATGGATGTTGTGAAGTTGTACTGAAAAGTCATCGCCAGTGGAGTCCATCATATCAACGTGAAGTTGATAGACATTCAAAGCATTGGTTGAGGAAAGTACTATATAGTAAGGCAAGAACTTGGTCTCGTAACCTAATGGTTTTGGGTTCGATTCCTGATGGAATTGTGGGTGGACACTGCTGACTAGCCAACTCCAAACTAGGACAAAAAAAGCCCGTTCAATACTCCTTGGTTTTCAGGGATTCTCTGAGTAGTGTTGTTTCATAATGACATCTAAAAGGAAACCGCCTAATACTTTTGTTTGGACACTAACTGGTGGCATGTGTCTAATCCTTTCGGTCACTGCAGACTGAATTTTATCAGTCAAGTTTGCAATGTGGCCACCATGGCACTAGGTGGCTCGCCATCACAGTAAACTCAGGATTGTTGTTGTTGGATGCTTGCAAGCAATCGGCAGGCACGCCTTACCGACGAGTACCATCTAGCACGAAACCGATACCCAAGACTTCTTGCCGGAACTAGCTACATTGGGCGTACAATTAGGCAGTTTCATCGTCGTATTTCCGAACATCATCCAACATGATTAAGCAAGGGACAAACAAGATCTATTCGTAGCTCTATTGTAGCACACCTTGTTGATACTGAGCATAAGGTTGATGTTAATACAGCATTTAAAATTATCTATCGCATTCCGAATAATCTTAATTTTGCTCTACGAGTTCGTCTTCTACATACAGCTGAAGAAATAGGAATCCACCTGAAGAAGCCAAACCTGTGTGTTCAGAAGAAATTTGCACAGCCACTGTCCTTGCCTTGGCCATCGTTACATGAATATATAAACCGGACTACTTCGCCCCCTCCCCCTAAACCTATAAAAATTATAATTGTCCAAATTTTTTTATTTTTTCTGACCACTTCATCTTTAATTACGTGTTATCCTTGTAAAATTAATTTATTGTAACCTTTTCTACCTTTTTAATGTGTATTGATTTTCTTCGTTTATTATCAACTCGTTGACATTTTGACACTGAATAATTATTGTTAACAAACATATCACCACTTGATTAGTAAACTGTTGTGTATTGTGATAAAAATGCTATATATATATAAGAGTAGAGCCAGAGATGAGGACCTAATTGAAAAGTAAGTATTTCTTCGCTCAATCTTTCTGTTTCCTTAAAGACTGCAGATACACCTTTCTGACTGTTGATTGCCAAAAAGCACGACACTTAGGTCCAGGCAAGGCTTCTAGCCGATTGCCTCCAACCATCCAATAGAAACCACTTAATGTCAAAGGTAATGATTGGACTTGAAAAGAAAGTTTAGGTCTCAACAAAATACGAACTATCAGACTCCAATTTACCAGTCCAGGACTCTACTAGATAACCCAACTAGGTAGTCATTTCAGTGCTTTTCGAAAGCTACTGGTTTGAATCCTGACGATATCCATATTTTCATATTTCATTATCAAACTGGTGTTTGGTTCATCATAATTATTCATAGAAAACTTAATGTAATTACTGATTTCACGCATCATATTTATCTGTTTCTAATGTGGCAATTTCCACTCTATTAAATCTACAAATTAATTCGCAATCTGTCAGAATTCAGGTAGTTTGAACTGATATGGATCTTTAGACAGAGTCAGTCCTGATACGCTGATGATGAGTTCAGTTCCAGACGAGCAAAATGGACTTCCAGTGTTCAGATCTCCTTGATCTGGCCAACAATTACTATTTCCTGACGTCAGTATCATGTCAGTCAATCATCATGTATTTATGTTTACCAGAAATACACTAAAGCCTTCTGGATATTCCTTTTATTCGATCTTTGACTTCTGCAGGAATATAACTTTTCATTTGGATAATTTTTGATGGAGTTCATTTCTTGTCAAATCAAATCGGTTGAAAAGTGAACTTTTGCTAGAAAAGATTTGATATAAGCGTTTTGATGTCTGCTTCAGAGAAATAAAAGCATTATCGTCTCTCTTTCCCTCAGTGATTTCTAAGACATCCACAAGTTTATTACTTCTTTTGGTTGGGGGATTTCATCA